ACTATGCCGGCCACTTGGTTATGGCGTTCCATGTATGCCTTGCCTGCTAGCATCTTGCACCCTGCTGTTATGTGCTGGATTGTCTCTGGAGCATCTTTACACAGCCTGCAACTGGGGACTTGCTTGGTGTGAAAGACCCCAGCCTCTATTGATCTTGTGCTCAGAGCTTGTTCCTGTGCTGCCACGATTAGTGCCTTTGTGCTGTCTTTCAGTCTAGCTTTGTCCAGCCACTGGTAGGATTTCTGGATATCAGCCACCTCCGCTATCTGCCGGTGGTGCACACCGTGCAGTTGCCTGTCCTTCCATGATGGTTCCTCGTTCCTTCCTCCTCTTTCTTGGGTTTCTGCTGCCTGAGGTATTCACTGAGCACGCTGTCAGTTGGGGCCATCTTTGTGACCTATTCGTGGATGTTCGTTGTCTCATCCTGGACTATGGTGCTGACACTCACGAGTCCCTGGCCTCCTTCCTTCCGCTTAGCGTACAGCCTCGGGGTGCTGGACTTGGGGTGAAACCTTCCATGCATGGTCAGGGGCTTCCTTGTCTTGATGTCAGTGGCTTCTATCTCCTCCTTTGGCCAGCTTATTATCCCAACAGGGTACCTGACGGGCAGGGCATAGTTGTTGATAGCCCAGATCTTGTTCTTACCATTCAACTGACTTCTCATGACTTGCCTTGCCCTCTGCAGGTACTTGGTGGTTGCAGCTTTTCTAGCGCCTCTTCATGGTTCCCATATGCCTGTGGGATCCCCCAGGTACTTGTAGCTGTCCCCAATGTCTGCAATGTTGCTTTCTGGTAGTTTGATCCCCTCAGTTCTTACTACCTTCCCTCTCTTTGTTATCATCCGACTACATTTCTCCAGTTTGAATGACATTCCGATATCATTGCTGTATATCCTGGTGGTGTGGATCAGTGAATCGATGTCTCGTTCACTCTCGGCATACAGCTTGATGTCATCCATGTACAGGAGGTGGCTGACAACTGCTCCATTCTGTAGTTGGTACCATGCAGTTTTGTCCTCAGTTAAAGTCAACAACATCTTATCCCAACTGTGCACTCTGTGTGCGTGGAAAATTGCTTTTACCTCACTGTCTGACAGTTTTCATGACATCACCATGTCACCATGTAGACTGGAATATGGAATATGTGTTTTTGCAAAGATGATTGTCAAAGCTGCATTCTGCTAGCCCTATCAGTAACCAACAGCTGACACAGGAGTCCCACAGTCTATCCTAATTCAGTAGCATTATTGGTTGTACTTTCTTATACAGCTTAGTAATAAAGTTGTAGGTAAGGGTGACAAGGTAGAAACAAGTATGTAATAAAGTTATTGCCACTCAATTACCAAAATAATAACCGGTTAATATCCAAGTAATATCGTGATAGCAACAGTGGTCACAGTTAGTTATACTAAATTTTATGTAATTGGATGACAACTGCTCCATTCAATACCATTCTTCCCACAGTCCTGAAGGACTGTGTGTCAGACGGGGTTGTCTGCAGTACAGGGGCCCCACAGGGAACGGTTCTGGCCCCATTCCTCTTCACCATCTACAATGCAGACTTCCCCCACAACTCCATGCCGTGCTTCCTGCAGAAGTTCTCTGATGACTCTGCAATAGTCGGCCTCATCACTGATGGGGACGACAAGGAGTACAGAGGACTCACCCAGGATTTTGTGGACTGGTGCCAGCTGAACTAGCTCCAGATCAACACTAGTAAAACCAAGGAGCTGGTGGTAAACTTCCGCAGGCACAAACATCCTCCACTGCAACCACTGAACATCCAAGGTATGGACATTGAGGCTGTAGACAGCTCCAGGTACCTTGGTGTTCATCTGATCAACAAACTGGACTGGACTCATAATTCAGACGCCCTCTACAGGAAAGGGCAGAGCAGGCTATACCTGCTGCGGAGACTGAGGTCTTTGGGAGTTAAGTGCCCACTCCTGAAGACCTTCCATGACTCTGTGGTGGCCTCAGCCATCTTTTATGGTGTGGTCTGCTGGAGCGGCAACATCTCTGCCGGGGACAGGAAGAGACTGAACAGGCTGATGCGCAGGGCCAGCTCTGTTCTAGGATGCCCTCTGGAACCAGGGGAGGCGGTGAGTGACAGGAGAATGGTGGCTAAGCTTTAATTCCTGTTGGACAACATAACCCACCCCATGCAGGAGACTCTGACAGCACTGAGCAGCTCCTTCGGTGGCAGCTGCGGCACCCACAATATGGG